ATAATCGGTGGAAGATAGTAAATAGTGAGTAAATAATAGCATGTACATTACTCACAGCGGGGTTTGAGCAGAGCGTTTGCTCGGAATGAAGCGTAGTTGCCTCGTTGTTGAAGTCATGATGTGTCTCGAAGCCGATGGAGGGCGCCCCTCCGACGAGCGCCGGAACAAGTGCCTCCTCGTGGAGGTGTAGTACACCAAGCCGGTCGGCGATGAAGTCCAGGCTTCCGAAGAGGAAGGCCTGGGACGGCTCGAAGACGGGTGGAACCCACATCCCAATAGGTGGGAGTGTGGGAAACTCCAGTGAGCCGAAGCGAGTCGTATCGTTTAATCCCGCCATGGCGAAGATGGCGAAAAAGTGGGCCATTCGATGACCAAAAGCGTGAACGTACAGCGTCTTCCCCACGGACGGTGCCAACTGTTGATGCAGAAAATGACCAACACATAAATATTTGTAGTTTTGCCGTATGTTGTGATCGGATGTGGCATAGCACTCAATGACACAGGGTTTATACTGGTTTAGGCAATGTGCCCTACGTCCAGTTTGAGTCGGTCGGTGACTTTATTCCTAAGCCCAGGTGCTCGAAGTTTGCAACGGGGTTACAAATGAGGAGGAGAAAGATGGGGGTGCAAGAGGCCTGGTCGGACTCTAGTCTGAAGAACCGAGAGAGACAGGACTTCCGCTATGTGCTAAGTGTTCGAGCGTGTGCTCGAGGTCGGAACCTGGTGGTTCTGTTGTTGTGTGTTGAATTGATCCTAAGTTATCGATCTGCCCTATTCAAAGAGAGTGCGTCCCCTTTTATAGATGAAGGGGATGGCCATACAAGAGAGAGAGAGAGAGAGTACGTAAGCTACTAAGCCTTGCTGCTCACGTTGTCGGGTACAAGGTGATTGTAGGCGCCCATAATACTGTTGATGTCAGACGTATGTGGGAGGTTTTACCGTGTCCTACCAGGTATGGTAAATGTCGGTGCCCACAACATTGTGGATGCCCAGATGCATGTGGGGGGCCTTACTGTGTTTGTCTGGTATGGGAATTGATAGCGCCCATAACACTATAGGGTAAAACTTTGGCGCCCACAACACTGCTTGGTTCTGATATGCCTGGAAGGTTGCAGGGCACCCTTATGACATGCCCTATCAGTACTGTCCTGCAAGTGTATAGGGTATGGTCCTCGGTATTGCAGTTGACTTGAGCGACCTGTCTTACTTGCTCCGGCAGTTTCCTGGTCTTCACCAAGCGGGCATCCCCGGTCGGTTGGTCCCAGTCGGCTCCGACTGCGCCAGTTGGAGAAGAGCTATAAGCAGAGGTTCGGTGCATCCCCGGTCGAAGACGTGGGTCGGAGTCGGAGGTAGCGTTGGCCAGGCCTTCCGGTCAGAGAGGCAGGCCAAAGTCAGAAACGGGCGTCGTTCCTCCTTGGCTAGGTCTTCCGATCGAAGATTGGATCACCCTTTGGCCTGTCGCTTGGTATTTGGGCTGGCTCAGGAGTTGCGCGTCATTTGTAACGTCGTCTGCTGGGCTGAGCCTTTGCTGGGAAGCTAGTCATGAGGGTCCCCAGGTTTATGAACCCGACAGGAGGCTTTTCCGGACAGGAGGACTCTGAGGGCCTTGGCCTTCTTTTGTAGCCCACGGCGTGTCCTGGTAGGACGGCACTTCCCTTTTGTCGTGATCGGACTTCTTGGGGGTATGTGACCATAGGATTTGAGGGTCGGAAAAGATTTCTCGTTTCCGACCCTCCCCTAGGATCCGAGCCATCGTCCTGCGACCACATATTCGGTTTCCTTGTGAGTCCAACTTCCCTCGAGCCCCCACGCATTGTAGGGGTCCAGTCGAGGGGTCAGCTCATCTTTGTGATCATCATCCCTCAAGTGTTTTTTTGATAAACCAGAGGGGCTGAGCCGTGCCACATTTTTCCTCGATGGACAAAACATGGTTCTCGGTGAGCTATTAATGGGCTAGTCTGAGTGGGGCCCCGGCTTCCTATTCGCAGGGGTCTGGCTTGGGTCAGCTGGTGACCGACTCTAGATTCTCAGCGGCTAATCCATATAGTTCTCGAGTCCATTCGACCGGTCCCAAGGGCTCTCTATGTTTCTTCGAGGAAAAACCATGGATTGTAAACCGACCAAGACTAGAACATGGGCCGGGATGCCCGTGGCGCTCGTGCGCCCGGGTACTGGCCACTAGCGAGCCCATCCCTTTCCACCCCTCACTCTAAAGGTGCCTTGGAGTGGTTGTCAACCCATCGGTGGGCCAACCTTTGAACTCCTAGGCCTGAATGGGCCATGGGAGCATTTTCAGCTCTGTATCCCTACTTACCTATGATGGTTCTTGGCCCATCGACCGAGTGAATCGTGATATGGCAAGGGACGGCCTTCACTTTGGTGTTTACCGATCGTTCGCGATCGCCCATTCTTATTACGAGAACATCGATTTGGCGACAATGAGCCAAGGCTTCGCGTCCGTCTACATCGACGCCGAACTAGACAACATCGAGGAGGCGGTGGCCCCCCTAGCACATGACCTTTCTACAAACATAGAAGATGAAATCATCCCCTTGAGGGGTTAGTTTAGTCAGATGTCTATGGTCAAATGTTTGGACAACTTGCCAATTGTTACCAAATCTTGTATCTGGCAAATAGAACACCTTTCTAGCCTGAGTAGCTAGAATTAAAGAATCATCTTTGTACCATAGACTTCCAACATTGATGCTTTTAAAGAACCCATCATCTCTCAGAGCATTCTTCCCATCCAGTTTATACCAATCACATTTGAACAAGACAACTGACATGTCATCACCATTATAATCTAAATGGATGATCTCTTTTATTTTTCCATAAAACTCAATGAGCTCAGAGTTATGTGTACCTAGTGACATTACTCCACTATTCTGAGACTTCTTATTCGTATCACAGTCAATAGTGTTAAACCGCACCCCATTAACTATACATGACTTGTACTTCTTGATTCTTAAATCAGGACCACATGCCAAGGAAAAGATGTCATCATCTACCATTTCTTCATCTGTATTCTTTCTCAGCATTTGGCATACAACATAGAACAACAAACATTAGTAGAATGCACAGTACAATGTTGATAATAATTTGCAAAAGATGCTGAATGAAATCTAACCAGGTTCCTGAACCATGTCTGGAATCCTTTTTGAAGTGTTTTTTCAATGTTACACACCCCTTTCCCTCTCTAATTCATCCTTGAACATTCTGTTAAAACCAAAAAAGTGTCAAAAAATTAAATGGCCCATATGAACAAGAGGAAGGGAGCATATAGCATAGTACATAAGTGATAACATACTTGATATATTCCTCAACTTGACTACAGTTGTTCAGAACATACCACACCATTTCATCTAATCCACCATCATCATACACTAATTCTGCTGCTGAAGTAAATCTCACTCCATGCCCAAACACATCTGCACCATAGGCTTCTTCATCAGAAAAACTAACATTTCTCTGTTCTCTATTAAATCTTGTTTCGACATCGTCCATGTACTTGGAGCAAAATGGTAGGCATTCATCTACAATATATGCCTCTGCAATGGAACCTTCTGGTCTTGCCCTATTCCTCACATAGCGCTTTAAAGTGTACAAACGCCTTTCAACTGGGTACATCCACCCATACTGCATAGGACCTCCGAGCAGCGCCTCCTCAGGCAAATGTATAGGAAGGTGCATCATCACATCAAAAAGAGCTAGGGGAAAAATTCTCAAGCTTGCACAATAATACAGTGATTTCTTCATTCATTTTAGCTAACACATCCTTGTTCAGAGTTTTGCTACACAATTGCTTAAAAAAGTTTCCCAACTCAGCTACTGCTTCATATATATCCTTGTCAACAAAGCCTCTTAAAGCAGCAGGTAAGATTCTTTGCAAAAGAATATGACAATCATGTGTTTTTAGGCCTTGTACCTTGCTTCCATCAGCATTAACACATCTTGATATGTTCGAAGCGTAGCCATCTAGAAACTTGACCTCCCATAAAAAATACAAAAGGCAACCTTTTTTTCTTTAGACAAGGTGTATCTAGCTTGAGGCATCTCAGAAGTATCTCCTTCATCTCTGAACTGCAACTTTTCTTTAATTCCTAAATCACTAAGGTCAAGCCTAGCATTCACTGTGTCCTTTGTCTTCCCATGTATATCGAGAATTGTGCCAGCCAAGCTTTCACATATGTTCTTCTCAATGTGCATGACATCAAGATTATGTCTAACCTTTAAATTTTTCCAATACTCCAAATCCCACAGGCAAACTCTCTTGCTCCAAATTTTCACACTAGCAGTTTTGTCACTATCCAAGGCAGAACGCTTCCTTTTCCTGCTCTCCTTTTGCTTGATCCCAGGTTTGACATGTCTAACCTTCTCTAATTCTGCTAGTAGCTCTTCTTTGGTAAATTTACCTGGCGGATCATTGGTTCCATGAAGGCCACTGTATTCATTGTTCCTCCTCAAACGATGTCCACTTGGCAAGGAAATGGTAGTGTCCAATATATGCAATTTTATTCCTTAGTGCATAAGAGAGGATTCTTGTCACAGTGAATACAAGCAAAATAGCCTTTCGTGGTATGCCCAGACAAAGTAGCCAGAGCTGGGTAATCATGAATGCACCATAACACTACCGCACGAAGTTTGAACTATTTGTCAATAATAGCATCATAAGTATGCACACCCTTCCAAAGGTCAATCAATTCTTCAACAAGAGACTACAGAAATAAATCAAAGTCTTTCCCAGGGGAACACGGACCTGGAATCAACAGAGCTATCATTACATTGGACTGATCCATGCATGCCCAAGGTGGAAGGTTGTATGGCACAACAAATACAGGCCACATGCTGTACTTCGTGTTAAAATTGCCAAAGGGATTGAATCCATCAGTAGCTAGCCCAAGTTTGAGGTTTCTAGCTTCTTCAACAAAATCTAGATATTCCGTGTGTAAATCTTGCCAAGCCTCACCATCAGCTGGATGACTCATTTCCTTCTCACTAGGCTACCTCTTTAACTTGTGCCAATGTGCTTGTTCTGAACCCTCCTTGGTTACAAACAGCCTCTGTAGCCTAGGCACCAATGGAAAATGCCTCAACACTTTCTGTGGAATCTTCTTCCTCTGTGGGTCTTTCCATCTTGACAAACCACAAACTGGGCAATTGTCATGATTAGAATAATCCTTTTGAAACAGAATGCAGTTGTTGTAGCACACATGGATCGATTCATATCCAAGACCTAATTCCTTTATAATGTTCTTTGGTTCATGGTATGAGGTTGGTAGTGTATTAAACTCTGGGAATGCATCAACTAGTAGCTTCACGAAAGCAGAAAGTGCACTATTGGTAATCCTATAAAATGACTTCATATGAAGTAGCTTTGCCACAAAGGAGAACTTTGAAAATTTGGTACAACCAGGATAAAGCTGACACTTAGCCTCCTTTATTAGATTTTTCAAAAAAGAGGATTGGCGGTTTCCATCATTGTTTCCATTTTTAGTTTTAGAGTCATGACTACCATGTCCTTGTGCAGTTTGTAGCTCCCTAAGCAAAATATCTAACCGATCAACACCATTGTTGTCATTCTCAGCCACACCAATGGAATCCTCATCAATGTCAAAAACAAGAATAGAAGCAGGGACTTCATTAACATGTACACTAATGTCCTCTCCGTGATGTACCCACCGAGTATATGTACAGTCCATGCCATTCATCAAAATGTGATTCTTCACAGTGGGCTGGTGCAGGTACTTCTGATTAAGGCATCTAGTACATGGGCAGAGAATCTCAGCATCCTCACCAAATTTTTCTTTAATGAAATCCATAAATTGTTTGACACCATTGACATATTCAGTGGGAAATAATGTGTTGTGCACCCAACTTCTATCCATCTGACAATGCATTGCGGAAGCACAAATTTTAATAAGCGTGCACACAATTCATATGCTGCAGTATAAGAAAATCAAAGAGAAGATGGCATACATGGCAAGTTTGGAGGAAGGCAGCCGGCGGCGGGAAGTCACCTTGCAGCGGCGTGGTCGGCTATCGGAGCAGCACGGCGAGGTGTGCTGTCGGTGTGTCGCGGGGCGGGGAAGTGTGTGTCGGTGCGGTGCGGTGAGGTTGGGGGCGGCGCGGCGAGGTTTGGTGCGGCGCGGCGAGGATTGGGGCGGCGCGGCGTGGTGTGTGTGTCTGTTGTCGGAGGGATTCAGGGATTAGGGATTATATTTGCTGAAGTCAACGATGTTTCAATATGAGATATGTAATCTAGTTTCTAACATAATAGAACGAAGTAGTGCAGTGGTGAGGCATGCGGTATGGAAGTGGGAGGTCTTAGGTTCGACTCTGAAGCGCCGCACAATTTTTTGAACTAGCCATTTAACAAACAAATGGCTCAAGGCCACGTCAGCATGACACGCTGGCATCCAACGTGTCAAGAGAGCCAAGGTCTGGTTTGGGCAATCTGTGATGGAAATAAAATCAGTCACAGAAAAACTGTCACGGATCAACACAATTCTTATAGTGTATTCATGCAACTGCTCCTCTCCCTGTGCCTCACTGCTTTCATAATCTACAACTTTCACAAAGGAGCTACAACTTTCACAAAGGAGCTATATTTTAACCATGACATTAAGATGGCCTAATCCATAGTTAAAAACAGAGTTCAGAATCTACTCGAGAATTGAATCATTAAAATTCATATTTTCATATCTCGAAATCCTTTAAGTCCAAAATTTATGAAATTTAACGATGGAGAAGATAATTTGATAACCTACAACTTTAATATATGCACTTTTACAAAAAGAGCCAATTAAATGTCCCTCAGCATGACCAAATCTTAAGTGGAAATCCTACTGAGCAAATAGTACATTGAAATTTAAAAAACTATACCTTTAGTTTCCATTATCCAAAAATCATGAGCTTTACCAATCTAGAAAGCTAACAAAAAGTACTACAAGTATCTTACAATTTATGAAGTCCTATCATGCCTCTAAGGTTCTCAAAAACCTTACAGATCCAGTTCTATCCAGAACTTTGTTAGAGAATGATAGCCAGCTTAGAAAAATCATATCTCTCAAAACATTTGGGCTAAAATCATGAAATTTCACAAGCTAACAGATCGTAAGGTACTCTACAACTTTGTAGTTCATCTACAACATTCAATTCAGATTCCAATGGCCCTAATCGCTCCCCCAATAAAAGCTACAGGAACTGCACAACTGAAATCCAAGGAATGACATCCCAACAACTTTTCTTCCCCTCTAATCCACTTATACCCAAGGCCAAACCCATCATAGACATCTAATTTGTGCAGGGAAGGACGAAATCTAATTCACCTTGGTCACCCACAAACCCTAGGGCAGTGGGAAGAGAACGGGAGAGGCTGATCTACATAGAAGATGCACCTCTTCCTGCTCCTCTTGTTGTCATCGATCTGTTTTGCTAGTTCCCCCAAGGGTTTGCTCCCGTAGAGAGGGGATCTAGGGGAAGGAAGCCATGGGAGAGAAGGAATGAGGAAGTAACGTGAGAAGGGAGAAGGGGCTAGTCTGGAGGAGATGAATGAAAGAGGGGCGACTTGGGCCAAGGGAAGGGGTGGGCTCGCTGGGCCTTAGCCCTCTTCCAAGCAATTGTTTTATAATGTGTTATAGCCACGTCCCATCCCTCGCATGTGGACGACGCTAGACGACAGAGGCCGAGCAGCAGCTGCGCTGACAGTAGTGGGGTCCGCCGACAGGCACGAGCCTGTGCCGCGAGCAGGCGCGGGAGAATTGCAAGAGGAGCGATGAGCCACGCCGATGAACGCGAGCGCGCGAAGCGACGTCCCTCCGACCTGAGCTTCCCAGCTACAACAATTCTCCATCAGGTAGGTCGTGGCCATCGGCGACGCCGTGTCTCAGGTGTTTTAAGCATTTCAGGCTTAAGTGTTGCATCAAGTTGTTGCAAAAGTATATCTAAGATGTTGCAATGACAATATACGCATGTTGCAAGCATATGTTTTCAAGTGCTTCAGGTGTTTCAGGCGTATGTTTCAAGTGTTTCATATGAATGTTGCAAAAGTAGATCTGGATGTTGCACGTACATGCATGTTGCAAGAGTATGTTTCAAGTGTTTCAGGTGTTTTGTACGTATGTTGGAAGTGTTTCATCTGGATGTTGCATATATTTTGTAATGGCTATACTTGTGTGTTTTAAAGTGTTTTAGACGTATGTTGCGAGTGTTTCAGCTGTTTCAGACTTTTTGCTAGTGTTTCATCTGGATATTACAAAAGTAGATCTAGTATTGGTACATGTTGCAACGGGACCCACTTGCTGTAGCTGCTAGGGCGTCGTGCATGCGTGTGGGAAGCGGAGGCGGATGGAGGCAGGGGCACGAGCAGTCCTGAGCGCGTGAAACGAGAGCTGCGTGGCGCCATGCATGCGTCGGGCGCGGGAAGGAGAGGGGGATGGAGGCGGGGGCGCATGGCCCCGCGTGCATGCGTCGGACGCGGGAAGCAGAGGGGGCGCGGGTGTCCAGACACAAGGCGCGGAGGTTCCCGCGTGCGTACGGGCGCGCGTGAAATGGAGCAGCAGACGTTGGCACCCAACGTTTAGACGCTAGCCACGCCATTCTATCTTATATCCCTGACCGCAAACCGAGTCTCCTCATTAAACCACAGAATCGATCATGTAGTAGTTATATATTATGATCATGTAGTTATTATACGCCTTGAATGACACGTGTTGTGGAAATTAATCACACGACTGATTTGTGCATGTAATTGTTGGGTTTGTTAACCGTATGATTTGTTTAAGATGTCTCATGTCGCTCATCGAGGACGAGGATACAGGTCCATATGAGAGATTTGAACACACAATTTTATTTCCAAGAAAAATATGGCTACTACTAGAGTGCGTCTCTACTAATAACAAATAAAGTACTTAAAATTAGGGGAAAACTGTAAACCAAAACTCAAAAGTCCGGCCATGTGGGATCCGATTTGGAGTCTTGAGTATGTAGAGCCCAGCCTAGGTTTGGGTTTCGGAGATACCCAGACGGCTAAACCCCCAAATTTCGCTAAGAAACCGTCCCCAGCCCAAATCCAGTCAGATCGAGAAGGTTGCGATCCTGAGAATGATGGCGGCGGCTGCGCAGCTGACACCCGGAGCGGTGGCGGCGATCGCGGAGCAAATCGACGGCATGGGGACGCTGCAGCCAGTACTGCAGGTGGTGGACGTGCAGTCCATGCTCGGCACCGCCTCACGCTTCCGGTTGGTGCTCTCCGACGGCGTCTACACGCTCCAGTCCATGCTCGGCACCGCCGATAACCCGCGCGTCCGGGACGGCTCCATCCGGAAGGGCTCAATCATCCGCCTCCTCGAGTTCACCTGCAGCACCATCCAGAACCGCAGGTGAGGATTAGTTATTAATCCTTTTATTATTCTATATACTTGTATAAATAACATATGCTATTTATGATCCTTAGTATTTGTAAGGCAGTGCTTACATATCGGCAATTTTCCATGTATGTTGACACCCATATCAAATCAGTGAAACATGTCACAGCACATGCTGTTGTCACCAGCATTCTAATTCTAATGAGTCGTACCAGTAGCTTTTCTAAAATTTAAACAAGTCTAAACCTTGTGTATATTCTTAATTCTTGTGGCCGTTACTAAGTATGCGCAATTATAGAATTCTAATAAAGTATCTTAACAATAGAACATGACCGTACTGCAGATAGGATGAATTATTTCAAGATCTCAAGTGGGTCACTGTTATTTCCTGAGTATTTGCAAGAATCGATGTTTGCCTAACTTCTTTGGTTAATTCATCGAAATACCTATTCTAGTAGAGCTGACTTGGCATCTATCTTATGAAAGGAGAGGAGTATACTATTTGAACAGTTGTTTGTTTATACCTTTTCATGGCTTACTTATCAGTTGAGCTCACCATGCATGTCTTTGTCTTTTATTCAGGATCATTGTCGTTCTCAAACTCGATATTCTGCAAAGTGAGCACGACATAAATTTTTTTAGATAATGGATAATTTATACCCGGCTTCATCTATCAACTGATAGAATCAGGCCAATTATTACAACGTCTCGCCCAAAGGCACACACACAGACTTCAAAAACAACACCTTTGCCGCCAGCCACACTGGTAACCGAAACAAAATAAAGTTTAGACTAAACATAACCAAGACGTCTTGTAGATAGCCATCCATTTGAACTAAAAAACTGCGAAGCTGACGATTCTAGGTGCTGTCCAACTAGGATCAGCTGATCCCGCTGATCATCATGCCGCTGCAATCTTGCCCACCGTCAAGCCAAAGCCATCGTTCCCTGAAGAGTACCTACAAGAAAGATTTTGGTTTGCATTTATCAAAAACCACCTCGTTCCTTGTTAACCAAATGGCCCAGCAAAATGCGGAAGCTGCTGTTAATAACAATGAATTATACTTTTGGTTCGCTATCTTTAACCATCTAATAAAAATGTCATTTATATCTCGGGGGGCGCAATACCAAAAAGTATATGTATAGCACGCCATAAGTATTTGGCATAAGCACAGTCTAAAAGAGATGTTGTATGGTCTCCGGATAGTGATGTAAGTAGCAATGCTCTGTCCCCATTCCGATTACGCCTAACTAAGTTGTCCTTAGTTAAAATTACACCTTTTTTTAGGTACCACAAAAATATTTTTATTTTTGTAGGTACTTTAATTTGTCATAAATCTTGTGACACTCTAACCCCATTGTTAATTAACGCAGCATACATGGACTTGACTGTAAAGTTCCCAGATGCATTTAGACTCCAAACAAAGACATCCCTTTGCTCAAGTAGGTTAATATCTTGTAAAGAAGCAACAATTCTATACCAAGCCATTAAGTTCGCCCCCGCTAAATTTCGTCGAAAGGAAATATTTAGT